AATGAACATGTACATTTAGCTAGTGGGAAATTTTGGTTTTCTTCTGCAGATTTAGTACTGAACAAAAGGAGCTAAGATAAATTGATTGAAATATTTTTGGTAATTTGAGAACTTGTAATAAAAACAATTAGTACTACTTTGTGTAATTTGATGTGATTTTTTGCTGTATAACTATGAGACTTGCCTGGTAAGATTGCTTCTGTTCTTTCTTGAGGGCTTCTTAATGAAGAAGCACTAACCAAAAAGAAAGGGAAAAGCTTGTCTTCTTGATTATTCATTCTTTCATACTTTTAAATGGAATTTAAAACAGAAGTCTAGAGAGAAACAAGTGTGATCATACCTGCACCGATTCGCCAGATTCCATCAAAAGAATAATGTTTTAAGTTGGACTTGAGTTCATAAAAACTTCAAGAATTATAGAAGACTTCATAAATTTCTTCCTTTGGATGTGTTTGGATAGTTTAGATATTATATGCTTGAAGCTTTCTAAAGATTTCTCCTTTAATTGGAAAGGAACAAAGCCAACAGCAAGTTTATTATGGGTATATATTCATTCCATTTTGTCTTTGACAAATTGGAGAAGGCCGTCAAGCATTGGTACAGCTATGAAGTTCTTCTCACAAATTCCAGCTTTCTTCTCCTTCCCTTCATTGGTTTTATCTTCTCTGTTACTACTTATGCATGCTTCTTGTCCCAAAGGTGTCCTACCACTTACCCAGAACAGAACAGTTGCAGCAATTATCGCATTTGGTGATTCCATTGTTGATCCTGGAAACAATAACCATATCCGCACTATGATCAAGTGTAATTTCCCACCATATGGTAGGGATTTTCCCGAGGGAAAACCAACCGGAAGGTTTAGTAATGGAAAAATCCCCTCAGACTTATTAGGTACATTAGAACTGAACAATTCTTATTTATGTAAATCTAATATTCAGATTCTTTATCTTAAGATTTCTCAAACAACTTTTCAGCCGAAGGATTTGGAATTAAGGAATTTTTGCCAGCTTATCTTGACCCAAATCTACAGTTTCATGACCTTCTTACTGGCGTGAGTTTTGCTTCTGGTGGTGCTGGATATGATCCTCTCACATCTAAACTAATGGTAGCCTAAATATAATTTTTTTCTCTCTTTCCCTCAATCCAATTTCAGAAAGAAAATTCTCTCCTTAATAATTTTTATCTGTTTTCAGTCTGTTTTATCGTTACCGGATCAGCTAGAACTGTTCAGAGATTACTTAGTGAAGATAAGGTCAGAATTAGGAGAAGATGCAACTTCAACTATATTATCTAAAGGCATTTTCATAGTCTGCACAGGAAGTGATGATATTGCAAATACTTATCTTTCAACTCCATTCAGAAAACACCATTATGATATTGACTCATACACTGATTTCTTGGTTGATTCAGCTTCAAGATTCTTGCAGGTTAGGCTTCGTTTTCAACTTAGATGTCAACTTTGTTGCTTCTGCGAAGCAATATAGCTTCCTTATTTCATAAGCATATGCATTTTAACAAACAAAATAGATTATCCATTCATACTGTTAGCATTTTTGTTTTCACAGGTAAATTCATTTTTGATAATGAACTTTTCTTATAACATACGTAAAATTAGATAAGAATTTTTGACTAAATTCTTTTAAAAAAATTTATTTATTCCAAACACTACGTTCACACTGAATATAGCATAATGCAGAAATTATCATTTTCAAGTGTAGTGTTTGTATTCGTTTTTTTGTTAAAATTCTATCCGAACGTCAATATATCCAAAGAAGACTTGAACCTTCAAAACAAATGTAGTAAAAGAGCCTGACGACTAGAGTGAAAGAGTGATAATTTCTGAGTTAGGTATCACTCATTAATGATTGACAAGAAAAACAAAATGGCAGGAACTTCATGGAACAGGAGCAAAAAAAATTGGAGTAGTTAGCCTACCGCCAATTGGGTGTGTTCCATCACAGAGAACATTACATGGTGGAAATTGAAAGAAGGTGCGTTGAGTCCGGCAATGATGCTGCACTGGTATTCAACTCCAAGATTTCAGCAGAGCTGGATTCACTCGGTGGAAAATTTCCAGGCTCCAAGTGGGTCTATCTTGATATCTACAACATAACACTTACACTAATGCAGAACAACACTCAATACGGTAATCAAACCCGTATGCCTATCCAGATTGTGAAAGGAAAAGCATTCGCCTATCCAGATAAACATTTAAATAAATTCCGATATCATTTTGTGAAAATATTGGCTTTTGATTCAGGTTTCCAAGTGACAGATAAAGGATGCTGTGCCAGGGGAAATATAGAGGTCAGCCGATTGTGTAATCGTTTTAATCAGCGCCATTCATGCAAAGATGCCTCGAAATACTTATTCTGGGACAGTTATCATCCAACTGAGAAGGGGTACAAGTTCATTACCTCTTACATGCTCGATACCTATGCAAGTAAATTCTTTTAAATGACTGTATGACTATCCCAAGAGACTGCAGTTTATTACGCATTTGACTCATCCATGAATAATGCCGCTCCTTTTTGTTATTGCTATTTTGCAATTTGGCATTCTTAAGGATCTTGCTCTTATTGCTTAATCAAATAAAAGCTAGCAAATGTATTTTATCTTCATTCTTAAAGCAGAATACACATACAATAATACAAATATGCAAATCTATATAGCAAATAACCCATTGAAGAACTGGTTCCAAACTACTAACCCATTGCAATAGTCATGTTGATGGTTATGAATCAAGATGATGTATGCAAGAGAGTTCTGAGATAGAAAAACTAGCGAAGAAACTGAAGATGCCACTACCTGGATTCCATTGAGAAGAAACAAAGTAGATATTCTTTCAATTTCAAACATATATGAAGATATACATGTGACTAGTTCAAATACATTATTCCAACAAACACTGTCTAAATTTTGCCAACCCCTATTGCAAATTGGAGTTGCATATAACCTAGCACTGACCCATGAAAGCTACAAAATTTGCATACTCCCTGCCTAACTACAAGCAAACTACGGAAAGCACTGCAAACTATACACACAGAAAACAAGAGGCAACGAGATAGATACTAGGCTCAATCAGCGAAGCTTATTCTGAGCAACAGCCTGACACAATTCCTCCTCATAGAATAATACTCGATTTGAAGCCAAAGATTTGCATAAGGGCCTGGGCAGAACAGAAGGAACCATACACCTTGAATGGAATGCTGGATCTTGAAAGAGAACAGCAGTAATCTGCCTCACATCTGAGATTTTAATGCGAGAAGGCGGTCGAGGACCATGCTTTGGTGCTTTTGGGGTGTGGGGGCTTGGAATGATAACACACTTCCCATCTCCTTTGCTGCACTCAATTGAAAACTTTGTAAGAAACAAACTGGAGGAGCATGAAAATTAAACTTCAAATGTTTAGATTAGGCTAGAAGCTTTTTTACCTAACAAAAGGCCAGTGTTCAGTTGGCCTTGGAGTCATGGTTCTCAACATCTCCTGTCGAGAGCGATCTGGCGTAGTGAAATTAAAATGGAATTGTCTAGCAAGCAAAACCTGTTTCATCAAATAAACTAAAAAGTTCCAACCATATTTCTTCCAGTGAATATAAACAGTTCCATCCATCTCTCTACAGATGGCCAAGTACAACGAAGGACAGAGAGAGCAAGAGAACAGGAGTCTTACAGCTTTTCTGATTCTTTGAGAGACATGAAAAACTGCCCTCAGTTGGTCATGGTGCAGATGACATAGTATTTTGACCTCAAATATGACAAATAAATTGAAATTAATAACCAATAAGCAAAAAAAGACCAGCAAAAAGTACTGAGCCAAATAGCATCAACATTGAAATGAAAACAATATATTTTCTAAATTAAAAGGAGATAGAAAAATAAAAAAATAAGGTTCAAACATCCTTTTGAAAAGTATTGCGAATCCAATGTGTCATTAGAGAGTCAAAAACACATGAAAACAGCCAACTGTATAATGGAGCGAACATTTCATGTTCATACCAACATAAAAGAGCGAACATTTCATGTTCATACCAACATGAGAACAGAAAACAGTGAACCTAAGGATTCCAAGATAAATGTGTATAAATGAAAGGGAAGCAAAATGAAGCAATGTAAGCAATACCAGCAAATCCATAGGCAGAGACTCGAGCCTTGACTCAGAATCATATTCCTCCATGCGAGGCGTCTTTGGTGTTCTTACCAAAGCATTCTGTTTCAGAACATCCACAGGTGATAACATTAAAGGGCTTTTGTCCATAACCTTACTTTGTACTGCATGATCATTATGCTCTGCATTCTTTGCAGCCATCAAGGCCACACTTTTCTTCCCTAGGTCCGCATATGATTTGACAGCTGTGGCCTTATTGTACCGAAACTGTGCAAGAGCACCTGGCTTCAAATACTTGTTGCTCGAGTTTTTTAATCGCCTTTTCTGTTTGGGGGTTTTTGACTCCCGATCTTTTGGAGACACTTTCCCCATACCTTTCTTCTTTATCAAAACTTGTCCCTTCAGTCTTCTGCGGCAACAGTTCAGAACTTTAGTTCTATCCCGTCATAAATTGTTGATTTTCAAATGCCAAGAATCTAAGCAACCAACAAACAGTTCAAAGAAATCATTCACTAAGAACTAATAATAAGATTTTCAGGTAGAACTCGCAATAAATCTAAGAATCAGGGATAAGCTTAACAAAACAATTTTCTTCGAAAAAATTTGTTATTATCAGTTCACAAACAAACCAAATGATCAAGAGATTGTACCAATTAAACCATATCCACTGCCACCATCAATTAATATCTGCAGAATAAACTGGTCTTTGTGAAGAACAATTCCACGAAGATAAATTAAAAGTGCTGGATGTGTTTAGGAGAGCCAAACTTCCTTAAACCAATATTCTAAATTCTATTCTTAGCCTGCTAATAAGGCTAAAATCTTGATCAGAAATCTACAGGCTTAATGCAAGCACTGGATTCCAATCAGGACAAGTTAGAATCCAAAAGAAACCCTAAGTACAAACCCCATACCATCGCAAATTACACATAAGAACAATCAAACCGCACTAGATATAATCCTAAAACGATCAAAATCAGGAGAAAAACCATAACAATTCCAAAGCATAACCGATGAGCAGGAAAAAAAAATCCGTAAAATCGAGTGACATTAGAAACAAGAGAAGTAATAACCTGAAATTGACGTAGATTCGTTCTGCATAAACCCAAGAAATTAACAGAGCTGCTCGGTTGAAGAAGAGAATAGTGTGTATAGAGAGAGAAAGGAAGAAGAGTTCGTAGAGATGGAGGGAGAATTGGAGATAGGGAGGGAAGAAATGTATCCGCTAGGGTTTTTTTCTTTTTGCTCTTTATTTGAATTTCTTTTGGTTGCCGCCAAATTTTTCAACAACAGTTACCAAAGAGAATTAAAAATATAAATTTACAGAATCAGATCTAGTTGTATGTCCACGTGGACGTATTTTATTGGACGAAAATTCTGTGGGTTCCCGTGAGTGTCTTTTATTGCTTAGGTCGCTGGGCCACATCGGACGGCGCAGATTCCGTCTCTCGGATTAGATTTAGGCCCTGCGAAGGTGGGATTTTTATTAATTTCAAAATTGGAAATTTTAGAGGGAAAAAATCATTATATTTTGTATAATTACTAAACTGTCCTGAACCTCCACTGGCTTACGTCAAATCCTTCGTTGTCTGCTCTCAAAATAAAAATATTTTTTTGTTGACTAAATTGTGCACCGGACAGAATCCAATGACCACTAATTTGGAAATAACCGGAGAATCCGATGAGGAATTTATAATTTAATCTAATTTTTATATGAAGGGTATTTTAGGTATTTCAATTCAGTTTAGGCTGAATGTGGGGCCCAAATCAAACGCTTACGTATGACCCCATCAATGCCTCGAAAGGACGAATTAATCCCTTTCACGCGCCATTAATTACACGTGACCAACGCTCTCATTGGCCGTTGAGGGCGAGGCGTTTATCCTTTTGTTAATAAATTAATTAAATGAAAACACAATAAATTTTTCACTTTCTATAAAATAATATTATTTTTGAAATAAAAATTCATACACAAATAAAAAGCTAATCGATAAACAATAATTAATTATAACACAATTCAACTCGTACTTGTAATTTTTATCTTAAGTTTAATAATAATTAATAAATAATATAATTTTATCTTGCTCCAGTATATGCACGCTAATGGGACAAGTATGTTTCTCTTTGTAGTTTACCTTCATATTTTTATATCATGCGAGTTATAACAGTTTTAAATAATTTATTTGATGTCTCATAATGGAGAAAAAAATATCTATTGTAGAAAGTCTGTTATAATTTTTAAAAAAAATTAAAAAAAAAAAACTTATTGAAAGCTAATACTAAGTTTATAGAATGCATAAGAGTTAAGCGCTTGGAATAGAGCATCAACGTGTCACCAAAGCCTAAATTGTTTCTTAACATTTAATTGATTTTTACAATCCTATCCAACTATAAATATGAATATCTTTTTCTTTATTTCAATGTCCTTTTTAGTAGAGTTGATTTTTAGGTCTTCTCCTCACTATGAGCTAAAGAGTCAAATGAAGTTATTACAATGAGAATTTAACTATATAATATATGAATAAAATATATTTCAATTAAAAATAAAAATATACATACTATTTTTCATGTATAATTTAAGTTTGAAAATGTCTTATGGTAAATGAATTTGTGATGTGAGCCCAATGAGAACAAACTCAACCCACTTAAGAATGTCAGATTTTAGCCCAAAGGGGGTAACCATTTTCTTTATGGGCTTCGGCAAAAACCAGTTTTATTTTTTCGCATGTTATATTATTATTATTTTTAGATATAATACAATATATATATATTTATTAATTTTATGTTCCATTAAAATTGAAACAAAATTAGAGATAATTATTTAATCAAAACCCATTGATTAATACATATGAGCATTTCAACTTACTAGATACTCCATAGATAAATTTTCACATATAATGTTAATAATATAGTAAAATTATAAGCCAAGCAAATAAAATATTATTATTTGAGCATTGTAAATTTATAACATGTTTCACTTTATGACAAATATTATGTCAAAAAATATACAAGAACAAATTATTTACCACTTTAAATTATTTTTTAATATAACATGATATTATATTTATTAATACGTCAATAACAAGTACATAATAAAATATAACAGCGTAATAAAACAAGTGCATAACAGCTGGCTGTAACGAGGAAGTGATACGCACTAATAGTATTAGCACATACTTGTAAAGTATTTATTTAATTAATTAATTAACAAAAACATTCCTAGATTTCAAGTGACCCACTTGCTGTGTATACCAAATTGGATCAAAAAATTATATTTATGCTGTGAATTAATTAAGGTCCATGAATATTCCCACTAAATCACATGGAGAGGAAAATGCCAAACATAAAAAATATAATTTCAGAAATGCAAGACAAACTTTAGGTACCACCACTATTGTTATATATAATTAAGTAGGTGTTAATTTATAAATGTAAAGGGTACTAGGATTCTGCAACCTGACTAGACCTCTATATATATACATACATATATATAAATGGGTCATGAAAGAAAAAGAGTCCATATAATGTTGCAAATTAAAATGCTTAAGATGGTGGGTCTGAACTTGATTATGGAGCACGCTAAATGCTTAATATAGACAACCTTTTCGGCTGTGCAGGGAGAAAGAGAGCCGAAACATATTTAAGGCACCAAATTATGGAGTCAATTTCACCTTTTGTGTTCCTCGGATGGACCAAACAATTTCATAATTTGGGTTCAATCACAAAACAGGAGGGAATCACCCAACAACCAAAGCTGACATGCCATGTCTCCAGTCTATACATACACGGCCATATAGTCCATACATATACGAAGTATATACATACGCGAATAGATATACGATATGATAAACCCGTAATGCACTGTGTTTGTATTTTAAAAAATAAGACTTATTTAGTTGGTGGGAATACGGGACATGGGTTGATGAGTAAGTAGCTGACAAATTGAAGCCTCTGTTTTAATATAACATATAATGGTTATTACAAATATTTTTCAGGGTATTTGTTATTTTATAGGAGAAAATTTTAATAATATAATTTTTTTTATTATTTTGGATTAATACCCAAGTTTTTAAAATTTTATAGTTAATTAAAAATGACTTAATTAATTATTTATAATTTTAAAAATAAAAATAAATTACGCAACAGACAATGCGCTGTGCGTCACGGGTGGTGACAACTCACAAGCCAGTAGTTCGTTATGCCGTTTTCAGTTGCGGCTGCGTTTTGTTCGGTTCTTCCGTTTCTTTAATTAATTAATTGATTAATTAATTACTAAGTTAGTACCTCCAGCCAGCTCTTCTTTCATTTATTCAGTCCGTTTTTGCCGCCTAATCACGTGCAGTTAAATGTTAATTAATTTTCTTTATATATGAAGAAATCCTGATTAAGCGGTTTTAACACTTAATTACTGTTGGCAAGTAGCAATCAAATTATCTCTTGTGGAGTTACTTTGCAGAACATCTCTTTTTCTAATTTCAGATATTTTTTCCACAAATATTATATTTGCTTCTTTACGTTTTTTTTCCATTTCTTTCTTTGTTTTTATTTAAATACTTCAATAATATGCATATAATCTGTTTGTATATATATATACATATATAACTATTCAATTTTTTTTTATATCCGTCCAATTTTCACACTTTTTTAAAACTACTTATTTTTATTTTTATTTACATTTAGCTATATTTTTTTGAGTTTTTTTTATATTTTATTCATTTTTTAAAATGAAATCATTATATATTTTAGATTAATGTATACAATTGTCTATATTTTTATAACGTCATGAAATCAACTTAAAAAATATAATCTTAATTTTATTAAATATTTATATTATATTTCTATTCCGATTATATAATTTAAAATTTTAACTAATTTCAGCGGAAACATATTCATTTGAAGGATATCAACTATATATTTCATACAATTAGAGTGGTTTTTGGTATAATAATAAACTAATAATATTTATCTTAATAATTAATAATAAATATATTTGAAATTAAATCAAGTTTTATTCGTATTTAAACTAATAACTACTAACTACTACTTACTTAAACAGTGTATATATTATTAATTTAATAATAAATTATGAATATCAATTGGATTGTACTGTCATATTTATTTTTATATTTTTATTATTAATATATGTGTAATGTACAATTAATTAATATATAAATTTATTAAAACAATAATTATAATTAATATCCGATTATAGTGTGTCAAATCAAATAATAATTAATTATTTTAATAAAAAAATATTTAATTATAACAAAAGGCATGCCTAATGATTTAGATAACATGTTTCAATTCCCCATCATTAATAAGGAATGAGCAGACAGAGAGTTCGATCAACACAGCAGGATGATGAACCACAAAAACGACGTTCACACGTGTCGTTCGGGATGTGTCAACCTCGCACCATTAATGGGTCCACGTGCGAGTTTTCCCCTCGCTTCGATTGCTGCTCCTCTTATTATATTTTAATAAATAAATTTATATTTATTTGTGAAATTTTTGCATCAATAATTCAAATTTCCTTTGGGGAAAACAGAACCACCATACACTCCTCTAATAAACGCATTAATTTTTAGCCTATCATGTATTTTATTACCTTAGTAAACCAGCGTAATCCTTTCAATAACTTTTTTGCAATTAGTCACATATTATTAAGTAATTATCAGGTGTTTTATTAGTACAAAAAATTATTTTATTTCAAAAATTTATTTAATATCCGTCATTTCAAGTTCTTCCCAATAAAATTTCAATGCACGCATTTGGTACAAACGTCAATTTATATTGGATTATTATGGAGAAAATTGTAAAAGTATATTTTTGAGTATTCCAAACTAAAATGGTTTTAGTAATTTTTGGGTGTAATGGAGGACCAAATTGAAAAAAAAAAGTTAATTCTGGGAGTAAAGTGTAAACTACTATAAATTTTGGGGTTTAGGAGTTAAATTGACACTCTCTCTAAGACAAAGAACAGCTGCCAGCTGCTGGTAAATTGAAGGTTTTTGAGGAGTCAACCAGTCTGCATTATCTATCTGTAAATGCATGAAAAATAAATAAATAAATAAATAAATGTGCGCTCTACGGCTAGGCTAAGCTACTGTCTCGTGAAAGACCGTGGCATTCTCGTAAATACAAAAGGAAAGCGAGGGTATATGGTAATTGCGTCGACCACCACCACCACCACCCACGTACGAGTTCTTGTGAGTGGCACTCACTTGAGGCCAAAGGCGTCGTGAACCGAACAGTGACAAACAAACAGCACCGAAACTGTGAGCGATAAAAGATAGACAGATAGAGAGAGATCTCCATTCTCTCTTCCTTGGAAGTCCAACAAATCCATTTCACAAGAGGAGAAGAAAAAGAAGCTATATATTTCCGTAATGGCAATGTCTGTTCATCTCAGAATTCTGTGCTCTTCTTCTCTCTCGTTTTAACCCTTTCTTCTCTTCTGATTATAATATAACCCGCTGCACCGAAAAGAGAAAACTAAACTCAAACTAAAGAAAAAAGAGAATAATAACGAATCCAGCCCTAAAAATTAGTGCAGCTTCTCTGGAGTAGGTGAGAATCTCGCAAGCATTTTGCTTTATTCTTGTCAATATCTGGTTTGGAATTCTCGAAGCTTTGATTCAATGCTTCATTTAACTCTTTTTTTTCTTTTTCCTTTTCCTTCTCTTGCCTTTTAAGGGTATGCGTTGAGTTCCTGTGGAGAAAGAGATGTATCACCGGCAGTCATTGGGGGATTAGGCGAGTTAACGGCAGGTTATTCTAATTGGAAACTTGAACTGCTATATCCTCCACAATCTCCATTTAAATGCGATATGCATATATTTTGTTTATAGCTTTGAATAAATGTTCGTTCTGATTCATCATTTTGTTTCCTAAAATGGTCCTTTCTTCCTGTTGAAGCTTTCAAGCTAGCTATATCTTTTGTTTTCTTGTTTATTTTTTTTCTTTTTCTTTTTTTTTTTTAAATTTTCATGCTGCTTTGAAAAGCGAGCAAAGAGGCGTGATGGATAAACTTTGAGATTCCTGTATCTCACTTCTGAATTTTGTGGCAGTTTAGGAAAAAGATTAAGAAAAAGAAATGGACGACCTCTGCAAGGTTGAAGATCTCGAGTGATAATGCGGTTTCTAAGCAGATCACGTCAAGTTGCTCGGGATCCAGCTTGAAACCGGACAAGTTGTTGATTAGCTTTCTGTACTTTGATTGATCCTGTCGATATATTACTGATTCTTTACACTGAGAATCAGCTCCGCTCTGCATGTTAAGCAATGCAAAAGAACCAACCTATAACCAACAAGGAGTATCTTGTAATGTTGAAATTATTGGCGTAAAAAGAGGTAAAACCGAGCGAAAATCTCTTCATTTGTCTTTGTAACCCCAACAGTAATTACCTATTCGTGTTGTTTATTTTGCAAGCAGGAGTTTTAGGTCGATTGGGAGGTGAGGATGGCGTCTTCATGGGAGCATTTTGGGGAGATTGCGAATGTCGCGCAGCTGACGGGACTAGATGCTGTTCGACTGATTGGTATGATAGTCAGTGCGGCAAACACAGCGCGAATGCACAAGAAGAACTGTAGGCAATTCGCACAGCATCTTAAGTTGATTGGGAACTTGCTGGAGCAGCTCAAGATCTCGGAGCTGAAGAAGTATCCAGAGACACGGGAGCCACTAGAGCAGCTTGAGGATGCGCTGAGGAGGTCTTACATCTTGGTAAACAGTTGCCAAGATCGTAGTTATCTCTATTTACTTGCCATGGGGTGGAACATCGTTTACCAGTTCAGGAAGGCGCAGAATGAGATTGATCGATACCTGAAAATCATCCCCCTCATCACTTTGGTGGACAATGCTCGAGTCAGGGTATTGATCTCTTGACTGGTTGTTGCTGTTGCTGTTGCGGTCTGTTATTCTGTTACAATTCGTATAAACTTAGTGCTGTGATATTCGCTAAACACTGATCCTTAATTATATGGTCATTTTGTTTCAATTATGTATGCTAACTGATTTCAGGTTGTACAAAAGGTCATCATGATACTTTTTTTTAATCATCATGTAGGAGAGATTGGAAGATATTGAGAGGGATCAACGGGAATACACATTAGATGAAGAGGACAGAAAGGTGCAAGATGTTATTTTGAAACCAGACGCCCCGTCAAATGCTGCTGTTGTCTTGAAGAAAACTCTTTCTAGTTCTTACCCGAACTTGGCTTTCAATCAAGCATTGCAAAAGGAAAATGAAAAGCTTCATCTTGAGCTACAGAGGTCGCAAGCAAGTTATGATGTGAGCCAATGCGAAGTAATTCAGCATTTGCTTGATGTTACTGAAGTGGCTGCAGCAAATTCTCTTCCAGAGAAGGGTTCTCCCAAGAAAGGCTCCAAGAAAGTAGAGTGCAATTCATATGCCAATAGTGAGAATGATCGTTCATTTTATGAGAGTTCTCCCAAGAAAGGTGATACTCGCACAACCTCAAGGTTAGTTCTTTTCTTTTTAAATAAGTGCAGGGTTGGTTGTAATGGTTGTTTGTAAGAAATCTGCACGTGGCTTCGAGCCAGCTTGTGTACACTGTTTCCCACCATAAGGCAGCCCAATTTTATTTTAAGGGGCAGTTTGTTTCTAGTTTCCATCTAGTAATTTGATTCATGGTGGTGTATAGGATACAGTGAAGATAAGCTTCTATTCCAAATTCCAATAGCTTGTAATTGTTGCTTGTGCTAACTTTCGTTTTTGTTTTCTTGTTCTTATATCATTTTTGTTCCATGCTTGAATATAATTTGTGTGCAGTTTCTTGATAGAATTAATGGATCCAAGACCAGTGAATGGCCATGTCAGGGGTTCCACCTCTATTTTTTTCCCCAGCAATATTGAATTTTATTGATTTTTTTTGAAATTTAATATTTTGAGAGCTAAGGGCAGTCTCTTAATGTTTGGTGCATGTATTTGCTCAGAACCACATCTTCAGTTTCATCTGGACATGATCTTCTCTCAAGGAAAGGATCACATCGTCATGAAGAATGGCACACTGACTTGCTTGATTGCTGTTCAGAACCTTCTTTATGTATGTACTGACATGGTGTTAAGAACCTGTTGTTGTTGAAAGTTTCTTTCTTTCAGTCTAGTCATTTTGATTAACTTTTCCTGTCATCCCATCCTCCAAGGAGTTTGATACATACCTGCAGTCATATTTTAGTTTCTTTTTTCCCCAATAGTAATAACTCTCCCGCTCATCTGGTAAGATGGCACTGTTAGAAGTAGAAATATTTGCTGCTGAACAATTTATTCATGTTGTAGGTATAAAGACATTCTTCTATCCTTGTGGCACACTTTCGAGGATTGCTACTGTGGCAACTAACAGGCACATGTGTAAGTACTTGTATATCATCCTTTCTACATAGTTTCAATTTATTTCCCATTTGGGGATATATGGTACTAACAAAATTTGCATGGTTAGGCTCAATTTGAATGTGCCGCCTTTCTATATTCTTCTTGCAAATTCTCCAAAACATATTCATGACTTTTATATAACTGCCAAGCTTACGTCTAGATTTGTGTTCTTCTGATCACCAGCTTCAGCAGAAGCATGTAATGAATTGATGGCATATTCATTAATATTATCATGCTGTTGTTACACTTGCTGTGTAAGAAGGAGGCTTCGCAAGATGTTCAATATCACGGTATTTTCTTTGCCACTGCAAGGATCATGTTTTAAAA